AACTTGTAAATACTTTGGATATATACTGAATGCTATACAGAAAGTTTGTAATGTTATTCTGAAACGCAGATTTCCTATTTTTCAAAGCGGGATGAGCTATCCACTACTCTTGATGGTAATTTGTATTTAAATGACTGTATTGTTATTCCTCCTTCACTGCGTAAATCTGTCCCTGAAGATCTTCATACTGATCATTTAGGTGTTGAAAAAATGAAGTCCTTGGCAAGGCTTACATGTTGGTGGCCAGAGATAGGTGCAGGTATATGTCGTACACCAAACAATTGTGAAAAATGTCATCGGTTGAAAAATCAGCCTTCGAAGTGGACTCCATGTCCAGTATCGTCTGAGGCCTGGCAGAAAATTCACGCAGAATACTGTGGTCCGTTTATTGACAAATACGTTGCGCTTGTAGTCATTGATTCTTTTTCAAAGTGACCTGAATTTTTTATCTCAACCTCACCGAACTATTACTCCACAATTCAAGCATTAAGAAAGATGTTTGGTCGAGAAGGGGTTCCTATGGTGTTACTGACTGATAATGGTTCTCATTTTGCTGCAAATGCAGTCACTACCTGTTTGAATGGTATAGGGTGCAAACATCTGTTTACTGCTCCCAGACATCCGTGTTCTAATGGTCAGGCAGAAAATTTTGTCAGGACATTAAAGACTGCTATTGATTCTATAGCCGCCTCAACATTTAATGAGCTGGAGAGGGGAGTAGATACCATTCTACTGCAATATAGAAATGCCAGACATTCAGTGACGAAGGAGACTCCATCAAAGCTATTGAAAGGAAGAATTCTTCGGTCGAATATGAGATGTTTGGAGTCTGCAGAAGTTACATATTTGCTAGGGTTGAAGCTATCACGAGTTCACTTAATCTTAACGAGAACAAAGACTCAGGACCAAAGACCAGTAAGGTAGCTATGTGATGCGTCCCAGCCCCGCTAACTAGAATGAGAAGTCCAAGCTTGGAATGGAAAGTATATTCTGCAAACAGCCAGAAACGAGCGATCATACAAACACAATTCTGAACGTATATATATCAGTTGGATGTATATGATCGATATTGCCATGGAAGTATTTTTAAACATTCAATCGATAAGTTAGTCAATCGACTGCCATAGAAATATTTAACGTTTATTCTATAAGAATAGTTTGGTTAATTAATAGTTATACGGTAAAATATACGTTTAGTATTGGTCCACAAACGGATCCCGAAAATTGACACTCATTATTCTTACCGGAACATAGCAATATTATCGTGGAAATGATCTTCGACCATCCACGGGGACTGTGCCGAAGAATGTCGGGAAATCTGTGGTGCGAAATCTAGATATCGATGACTTCAGTACAAACTACCGACATGCTGATCAAATGCAATTCCAGGAACCAGGTGAGTCTTCCAATTTCAGTTGTTAATTCTAGTGCTAATGTGTACATTCTAGATAATACACAGTCCTTACCCAATACGTTGTCGGATAGACACGGGATGAACTTAAGAAGAAGACGTACAATCGACTACAAACACCGAGACTCCAATTTAAGCTGTGGCGGATGTGGTGTTTGTATGGACTGACGATACCTCTTTACTTATTGTACGCTTGATTTCGAATTCCAAATATAGTACATTCTTTAGTGCTTATCCAGTACTTCTTGTTTTGTTGCAGTATTACTAGGATTCCTAGTTTGTTCTATAATTCAAATGCTTCTAATCATCATACTGATCCACCTACTATCTAATACATCTTGCAAGATATAGGTATGAAACTTTTATTTTCTGAACGTCAGGTTGAAAAAATAATTGGAGCACTGAACTCAGGTATTTTTAGTATAGGTATAAAGCTTTGATTCGATGGCGTTGAATCAGTAAATAAGGCATGTTCATTTAGTAGGTAAAATTCATATGGGTTGTTATCAAGATCGAATGGGTCTGAATAATGGTGTTTTAGCTGATATAAAAAGCTCGAATATCACCCGCTATATCCACAAACTAATGAATAAACATGGAGTGCTTAGGAACGCTAATAACTTGATAATTATAGTAACCTATCATATTATCTTGATTATTCAATTTTCCATCAAGTACGTACTTCTCCATCATATACGAAGAGCCTGAACTAACATTTAATAAATTATCTTGGTGCAGAAGCTATGTAAACATCAAAATTACGAACATAAGAAGTGCCAAGCACAAAAGAGCAACCTGAATATCATTGAATAATATCCAAGTAGAGCGTTAATGTCTTCATTCGTACTAGAAAGCCAGTGCATCTAAGAACTTAAGTAGACTTACAATGCAATTCATCTACCATGCGAATTTCCTAGAGCAGGTTATTCCATATGAGTACATAGGTTTGAACTAAAGATACTTTATTACAAAGGGATTATATATATATATTTATTTAAAGTAAGAATCATAGCATATGAGAAGCTGGTTTATTTAGTAGCTTGATGTAAGTAGTCACACAGAATCTAAGTCTTTTTTTCAAAATGCGCTAAATTCTTAGGTATGGCATCTGCAGATATAGTCAACTACAAGATAAATTTTCTCCATTTAACTGAACAGACGCCGTTTTATCCATTCCACCCTTCATACATCAGATAGGAATATATTAGGAAATAATGAGCTACATTAAACGGTCAATCTTATTCATATGTTGTAAATTACGCTGTGCATTTTTGTTGAATCAAGGTATAAAGGATGAAATGTGGTAATTTGCACATTTAACATTCTGCCGTGGAAATGTGTTCATAAGCGTTTAAGTTTTCAGAGTAATTCACTGTCACATACTGGTTTCGGCAATGGATTCCTATTGAATATGGGTTTCGTTTTGATAGATAAGTCTCAGATTCAAAGCCACCTGCACTTCTCCATATTAAATTCAAAATTTCAAATTTTACACCAGTTATTTTATAGATGAGTTCGAAGTGATTTGAATATAGGTTCCGGCTTATCATCATGTGAACGTTAGGATTTTCTGTTGCTGCCAGCTGTGAACATCTAAGGAACTAAGTATGGTTTCAAAGAAAGACAGGTCAGCTTGTGTCTGCAGATTGATGCTTGTGGGCTGAATGCATTAAGCATTATTTCGAAAGACAAATCTGGCAAGACGGGTTCGTTGATAGCTTAAACCACTGACTAAGCATTCAAATATAATTCTTGCGGTAGTTGGGTCTACTGTCTATGTGACGATATGGCACCCACATAATATGGAACTGAGGAAAGAGGAACGTGAAAATTCAACAAACGCGGCCTTGTCAATCTTTGTAAGTGTACCCAATCCATCTAACACAGGTACAACCAAATACGCGATTATGGGAGCCCAGTTTGCACATACTTCAGTCACGGTTGGTGATAGGAAGCAGTGCGTAGGTAAAATGAAAGAAAACATCGGTAACACAATGCTTGGGCTGGGTAGAACTTCAGCATACCTATGACGCCCGTATATGGGAGAAAGTGTAACGGAAGGCAAGTCACCTCCATTGTAGGTAAATACGGATTTAGGTATTGCAGAAAATGTTTTATTAACGTTTCAGAGACCATCGATTAAATGGTCCTCACGAATCCGCGTATAGTCATTAAAGGTTCCACCTGAACATCACCAACGTACACTCATGAACCAAACATCACGTTGGTCCACAGGTGCCTGAGTTGGTGGGTGGTGGTTCGAAGGAAGCTCACCGATACTACATGCAACACTTTTATTGGCTACCGCATTGACTAAGACTTCAAAAACAATTATAAATGGTTTGTTTTAGAGTCCTCATTCATCACATTTTATGGCAACTAAACGTTTTCATATGATATGTGTAAACTTCAGAAGCCGAAAGGACCTAAGTGAAGCTCTTTAAGCCTCATAAAGAATGAACTCACCAGCAAAATTTGATAATGAGAGGACCAACCACTAGTCTTTCCTCGACGTTAAAATTTTTTCTTGATCATTTTTATAATGTAACCAACTAATCAGCCGCTTGATGGTGTGATAGCTACTGGTATTTAGATACTATGTTGCCTAAAGTTGAAAGCACTCAATGAAAAGGACCTAAAAATTATAAATTTTCGTGTTGTGAGGCTTCTGGAGATAATGATGCCGAAGCTACTATGGGTGCAGTGCAAAGCCATTTAAATAGGCTTCGAATTTGTAACACTAATGCCCAAAGCTCGCTTAATAAGCGGTCGCTACTAGGTGTACAGATTGACTCTACCAAGCCAGATATAATTGCAGTTATAGAAACTTAGCTGACGCAACCAACAGACAGAATGGAACTTGATTGATTACTCTGGTAAGAGCCGACAGAACCCAGAACCGTCAAGAAGAGGAAGCAGCTCTAGTCATTAAGAATACTATGCCATTCACCGTTAACGACGGTGTATCTCATGAGAGTGGAACGTTTGAATTAGTTAGCTGCCGCCTGAAATGCAAGGGACAAGAGCTGCTGATTGGTTTGGTCTACCGCAGTTCAAGCTGTGAGGCAAGTGAGGTTTTGCCAGGCAGTTTCAATACTTGGTCACTGGGTGGTCGATGTATAGTCGTGGGAGACTTTGATGCACCCACGGTTACTAGAAAAACCTGAGAACTGAATTGTCAAAAAAATTCCTTCGAACAGGAACTAGTTGATGTCACATCGACTTTCCCGTCGAATCATCAAATGGAATTAATTACCTCCACAAGTGAATGAATCTCTATTTATCGACACTTTCAAAAGAAAATCGGGTCAACTGGGAGACCATATTTCTGGGACTAACACAGGCCACCGAGCCTCCTGTCTTTCCAAACTGAAACTGAAATAACTACCAATAACTGCAAATAATGCATTCGAGTGGCTGGAATAACTTCCAAGTTGGCATGATAAAATACCTGTGATCTTGCTGAAACGACAAACCAGCGCAAAATCACCAATCGGTGTATAGAAGCTCGTCACTATTATATTGAATCTTGTTTGTATCCCTTATGTTACTAGGACGAATCGACTTGCAAACGTGTTAAACTTGTGAAATGAAGGACACTGATCAACAGCAGTTGCCATCTTTGCTTATTCAATCATCGAGAATTAATAGTATCACTCATATATTTATTAACTAGTTTGTAGGTTGGTTGTTGTCACGCAAAATAATACAGACGGACTATCCGAAGAAACTGAAGGACATAGACTGCAAAGTCAACGACTATTTTAATAAGTACCCTGAAGTTAATGTCCCGATTTTTGAAAGCCCATGTAAGACTGCATGTTCGTGTCTTTTAAAATTTGTTTAGCATTGTTCTTAGGATGCCGTGAATTTTTCGAAGCCCTAGCCAAGACAGAAAACAAAACTGACTTCTTCGGACGTTCTAGTCCGTTAGTCCGCGTATGCTCAATTTCTTTGAATTATTAGATATAGGCATGGACAGAAGTTCTCAGTTTGTTTCAGAAAAACAACTTATACTTGGGTAGGACCATTTCACAGTATAATCTCTTCAGCTGAAGTAGGAGATTCAATCAACGAGTTAGCTGCTGTGCAGGTCCCTAGGTGTAAAATGTTCATTTCAGACAGACACAAAGATTTATTGGTACCTGCACGATGTAATTTATTATCTTTGAGGACTTACGCCAAAGGCTAAAGGAACAAAGTTTAAATCTCATCAGAAAAGAAGAGCTGTTGGAGAAGGTTTATAAAGAATTCCACGTTGATGTATGTCTGATTATATGTCAGTTTTAAATTATGTCTGTGTAGGTCAAGGAAGAAAACATTAGGTTGCGTCTTCTGGAGGAGGCTGGAAAAGTCCCTATGCTTTTGACAGAATTTGTACATTCTCTCACTTCCCTGAAAACCGCGCTCCAGCTGTACGTTAGCTTCAAAAACTTTGTCCTCGGAGGGTAAGTATTATATTCTCTCGTTCACTTTCTTGCTGTTCTAAAAACTATTGCATCGCTTAGTTTTAACGACAACAAATGTGCATAACTTGATATTTTCTGGAATTATATGTTGTTCATTGTGTGTAGAGCGCTTCGTCGGGTGTTCGACTAAAAAGCTACTTTGGCTTAGGTTGAGTTACTTTTATAGCGATATGTGTGACAGACTCATGAACATATACTTTTTTTATATCATTTTATTAGAGCAGCTGTCAGATTTTAGGAAGGATTACCGACATCGATATGCTTGAATATGTAAGAATACAGATGAATCTCAATTTAACAACTATCAACTAAGAACCAGTTGAACAATCCGATAAAATCCAATAATCTAGCGCCTCGTGTAAAAATATACTGGTCTAAGTTTCCACACTTTGCTCCTAAAGAGAGAAGGATCTCTTAAATACTAGATGTCAGTAATTTCTGATTGAAACCTTTAAGATTCTCCGAATAGTAATCACTTTTGGTCTTAATTTTCTCAAGTTTAGTAAGCGCTAGTATCAGTTCTTCATTTGAGTTACCATTAGATAATTAAGTAAGGTTTAGTTGTAAATTACTTGCAGTCTTCCTCGAAGTACCTTTTTCAAAATTTTTACTGTCCTGCTTTGAGATATTACCGTTAACATTTCTAACATCGCTTACTGTGATAAGCACCAGTTGCTCTTCGCTCACTGCTTGACTTTGTCAGTTTCTCTATTCATCGCTCACCACTGTCTAATTCATTTTCGTGCTCTTTTTTCTCATGGAGTTGGTTAAAATTGATGCTCTATGTGTTTTTCGACTAGGAAAGTTTCTTTATAGCTGCTGACATAGATGTCATCTTAGCAGGATTTTATGAGAATCTGAAACACCGTTATTACTGTGTCAAACCAGTTTATTATATTAGAGCCTATACCACAACTGCTTGAGGTCATCTCTGTTTTTTCCGTAGAGTTAATTTAGTACCACATCATATTTATCATATGACAACAAAACAAAATGAAGCACGCTTCTTATAGGTCAATTTTCTCAAAAATATTATTGTTATTGCAAAGTGAAAGGGCCATTTTAGATTTTGATTGTTGGGTTTAAGCTCATTTTGGAATTTGGAATTAATCTGATCGCTCACTGTTCAGTCAGTTATTTTTATTTCAACGCTCTTCGTTTATGTTAACTGTCATAGTAAGATTCTGAGGAATAATTCTACAACAACGCTTTAATTGGTAAACACACCCACTAAAGTATAACTTTAATTTATTAACACATTTAACTCTTCTCAGTACCAGTCAATGTTCAGTATGAACACGAGACCTCTGGTCATTGTTCCTCCACATGCACTGCTGAGGTATACTCCAGAAACTTTATAAAGCGTTTAGTACTAAAGACTCAATAGGATAAAAATGCCAACAAATGGTCATTCTTCATACGTTTCAGAAACATAGGCAAACAAAGTATCATAGAATCTGACGTAGTGCTATACAGTAAACATTCCCTCTCTATATAAAAAACTGGGATAAATCAGCAGTAAAAACATAAGCAGTAAAATAACAGTAATGCTTTTTTAATGAAAACGTAAAGTAAAATATCCGATCGTCTATATAAACATAAGTTATCATTACTAAGTAGTAAGGTTACGGTAATAAAACTTTATTCACAGTCTAATTAAAAGTAGCAGATAATGGCACTAAATGTATATCTTCAGTTTGTTTCTCGATCGTTTGTTTACTTATGTTCATTTAACCAATTATTTCTCTTAAGATTTCGCTGTATTTAAATACATAGCATTTCACATAGTGCACTAAATCATAATGAAGTGTTTTTTTGTATAGTTTTCAGGATGACTATCACGAACCTGAAAAGTTTTATGGTTGCTGTCCCACCCTAAAACTACTAATTGATTCAGGCCATGTTATGGTGTTTACATGGAAAAATGGATGTGAGCCGGAGCACATTGAAGGAAGTGATGATTTTGTTCCCTTTCTTTTACAGCAGGAAAAAATGAAAGTTAACCAGTTATCAATGGAATTGAGTCAAAATGTATTTACAGATTCAAATGTTCCTTCTGAACTAAACGAGGTTAGTTCATTCCTCAGAGTTATTTCACAATAATTTCCCCAAATCGTCAAGCCTACCACAGGGAAATCAACTATTTCTTTTTGAGAGTCCTATTTCTATAGGCAACCTGTTTCAATGGGGTGCTCAAAAATAATGGAAACCTGTCACTCTTTTCATGATATCTCGAAAAAAATTATGTAGCGTACACATGGGCTGTAATATATGGTTTTTCATATTTGAAAGAGTCGCTTCATAATATTTTGTTCTAGATATATTAAATATTAAAGCCATATTTGAAAAACCACAGGGAATCAAAACTAAATAACTATTTCATGCTCATAGTTCCCTTTATCATTTTGAGAAGAGCAAGAACAAAGATTCTAGCAGAATAGAATGAATTCATTTTTATCTCGTAGGTCCTCGTCAGCTGCTTACAACCTGTGATATTTAAAATTATAATTACATGATGGGTTGTAGGTAGCTGACGAGCACCGACGAAACGAAAATAAATTCATGCTATTCTGCTAGAATCTTTGTTCTTGCTCTTTCCTAAATAACTATTTTGTTTCGCTTAGCATTCTGACTCGAACTTGTTTGGGGAAATAATCATAAGCAAGATTATTTAATATCAATTATGTAACAAACAGAAATCTAGCCGTCTTAAGATACTGTTATAATCTCTTTCTTCTTACGGTTATGACCCAGCTATTCCTATTGCTTAGTATTCTCGGACACCGATTCACTCGACAAGTCCCCAGATCAGAACACGGTTGAGCAGGATAGAGATTATATTCCAAATAGCAAGTCAGAAGCACAATAGGGAAAACGTCAGTATATTTATAGTTTTCACATAAGAAGATTCCAGAGTATTCTCCAACTATCGACTAGTGCCGATTGGATAAGAATTAGCCAATCAGCGTGCACCAATGCAATCATGCATTGAGCATGCTTTAATCTAGTCTATGTCCCGCTAACAGATACTGTATATGAAATGGTGGAAAAGATTTATACCTCGGGTGGATTTTTTTACGTTTATATGTGGTAGCACTGATGCAATTCTTATTTACTTTTATTGGTGACTAAATACGGCTCTATGTTATACTCTCGATTAAGTCAGTTATTATAGTTGATAACCGAAATTTCAACTTATCAGAACGTTTGTGGATCGAGCGGAGATATTGTACACATGTTTTTGCTGTTGTAGGGATTAAACATTTTCCTAGTCACATGTAAACATAACAACTAATTTAACAATTGAATGTACATCTGCTCACACTTCGCAGTTTAGAAACCGGTGATTTCAAGAACCGAAGTTATATCCTGTTTTTGATGCTCCTAGCTTTCTCCAAAATCACTCCTACTCCACCTAAATTATACATCTTGGTAGACGATGGTCAGGCCTATGCTTCAACCACCTCAATCTATGAAAGTTCACATCCTCATCAATCGATTCGCCATATCTGCCTAATACATTGCACCTAAGCTGAGAATTACTCGGCTGTCCCACTGTACAAGAGTGTCTTGAGAACAATTGTGATCAAAACCTGCAGTTTACTCGCGCTTTAGTCTATAGATCAACACCTTGCCTACACCACAAATTGCCCAAGTTAGCAAAAGCCAAAGAAACTTTCCAAGTCCACTCATCAAGGCTAACGAGATAATTGAGATAAATAAATGCAGTAAAGGAAATTATTTGGACGGATTAAGGTGTGTTATTTTTGTGGCCAGGCCCTTCTCTTTATGATATAATGACGTTCCTGTAAATGTCATCCATCCGTGAAAGACACTTTTGGCTCCACAACAGCTGGGTGCACGAATCCGATCTTGGAGCTTAAATTTTATGATTTGAATCTTATCGATTACCTGGCCGACCACCCTGGCTTGTTATGACCTAAAGAACCAAATGTTCCAGTTAGCATAGCTCAATTACGTATCCGCAATAAACGAATCCAACTACCATACCACGGCAGGAACTCTACAGTCGTGTATAATCATCCACTGAAAGGTTTATTCACCAAATATCTGAGATAATGATTCAACCTTTTGGAAATAAATGTTTCCGATAAACAAATGTTCATTACGTTTTGCTAAGAAAATATGCAATATATAAAATTTTAAAAGACATTGCACATGGTTCTAAAGAAAATACGCCTTGCAAACTTAGAATTTAAGTGAATATTCCGTCTACTATGAAATACCTAGGTAATATCTTCTTGTACCCACTTGTATGGCTGAGAGACACGAATAAATAAATCCATGTAAATGTACTAAGTTTTAGACAAAAATGTACGCAGTTGGGGATCCGTCTACTTAAGAACGATTGATGAACTAGTATTCTCCGTAGCTTATCGGTTAATCGGCAACTGTAAACCTTAACTGTTCATCCCAACTTGTTATATCCTAACAGTCACTCTCAGTTATCCAATACTAAACACAGTGAATCGCTGGGTTCAATAAAATTAATATGCATTGATTCATGTCTAGCAGTACAAATGATCACAAGCACAGAATTTCTATAATTATTATTTGTTAACGTGTAGAAATTGTATTTCTGTTATTTAGAACTATTTGACATCAGATTCCGATGATTGCTTGTTTTCTTTGTATCTTCTCTAGTTTGATTATGTCATTTGATTGCTTAGAATTACTGACCATAAGTTTCCTATGCTTTATCTGACTCATAAGCTTATTCTTCTGTGCCTTCATAAAGATCATTTTGAGTTATCGCTGAATCAGATATTATTGTTTTATAATGGTAGTGTTAATATTAAGATAAATTTCATGGCCTTTGTAGACTTTTTCTTAATGTATTATCTGTAAATAAGCACGTATTTTGTATTCGATGTAGATTTTGTGGGATGGAAACGAAGTAGGAGCAATAGATTTCGGTCCTTTTGATGTAGAGTCTGTGGAAAACATTGAAATTGAAAGGGAAAACATGGTGTCAACCTCTTCATCCGGAACGCCAGATAATCCAAACGTTGATTCTGCCAGTCAGTCTAATGTTCAATCGTCAATAAACGAAAGAAAACCGATAGTTGCTTCTGGTGCATCTGCTCGTTATCTTTAGACTCAGTTGATGGACGTCAAGCTCTGTTAAATGATCTACTTGAATTGAATGCGTTCCTTCAACGTTTTCAGGAGGATTTACTTGAACGATTAGATAACGAAAATGAGCATCAGCTCAGTAGAACTGGATGTAATGCGTTCAAACCTTCCGGTGGTATTGGTTGTGATACCATTCAGAATATTATCATACAGGTTGAAAAATGTTGTGTTATTAAATTGAATGCTCGTTATCAAAAATTTATTATACTTACATAATATCTATAGTTTTCCATACAAGTTTTTGTAACTTATATAATGTTCCTCATACTTCCTGAAAGATGTTGCTTCATTTTGCAGTATAAAATAAATTCACCTGAAACTTCACTAGAACAAAATATGTGAGTTCGTCGGCACTTTCTAGAGACTTGAGTAATATACCACCAATATTTCGGGAGCGATTTCACACGGCATAAATCATTATTTACTTTTATGATAATAGTCTTCTGTTTGTGTGGTACAGTGATCATTACAATCTTGTTGCGATGGAATTCCTTGTAATCTCAAATTTGACCCACATCAAATTACTTCCCGATTAATGCACCTAAAATGTTCTATCATGTCCTATAAAAATCTTAAATACAACGTACGAAATATGTTATTCCTTTATTGGAGTTAGAAATACGCCTTTACATATTGTAGGATACTGTGATGTACTTCATCATCAATATTGCTTCTGTAGAGTACTTTACTAGCTAAACACGCCCTTTTCCATTAGATTTGTACCTAAAGGCATTTTTCATATTCGCTTTAACTTAAGCCAAATTACAGGTCAAGGTAACAAAATTTTCGAAACCTTTGTATTTCTAAACAGGTAGTAACCAATCTTCAAATACCCTGATAATAAATCGCAGGTACAAATAATCTCTCTCTTCTTTTTATCTTTGGATTATATTCGAGTTAGCACAAACTTTTGTGGTTTAATTATTTTCTCAAAAGTACTACAAGCAGCATTGTTTGAAGAACAACAACCATCTCATTATTTCTCACATAGGTGATTTATTGAAAGTTGGATCAGAGAAGCTGATGTAATCGACGTGTAATTTTGGTAATCTACAAATAAAACTGAATTGTGGTCATAGAACATACAGCAAACTTCCTGGTTTTTGCACCGAAACTGTTTATAACTAGATTCCATTTAGCCTACTGTCTTAACAAGCCAACGTTACATTTGTATATAAGATTAGTCTGTTGTTTATTTGTGATATCATTATCTAAGAAATTACTCATAGAAAGCATACGAAGTATGCACCTGTTTTATTAATTTTAAGAAATAAATATCAAATACAATTAAGATCAGCACTCTAATAGTTTGCTTATTGACGAAGACTTGAGTCTGAGCACCAGTAATAAAACTTTGACGTAGTAGATCAATATGTACGTAATCTTATCCGGAAAGAAAAGTCTATTTAGAATTTTTACTGAATCCAAACTATCGTCCACATGTTTGGATGTTACACTACTATTACCTAATGCCTTGTGCTAGATTTTCTAATATCGCTTTTTTGTATTTATCTTTCTCGAATCAGTTTATACTCGCTATTTTTATTGTGTGATATTGTCCTTACTATTTCGCGGAACAATGGCTAGTTATAGAAATGTATTAAGTAGTCGTATACGAAACTCCGATTTACGTCTATTGTTTGGAGGTATTTTACAGTGTCAGTCTGCTAATCGTATTATATATAGTCACTCCCTACTTTTAAGATAATTTGTTATATAAGCCATTTAGAACAGATCAAATATGTAGATGGACATTACTCAAGCTTCATCATTATCATATGTTGTTGCAAAGTCAATAATATCTGGATATATTAGTAGTTTAAACGAACTAGCTGAATATTGATTTCTTTGACTATGCTGGATGGCATAAGACTTCTACTCGATACAAAAATATGTCTTAATTACATTATTATCTATAATTTATAATTGAAGATATGTCAAGAAACTCTAAGGTTCAATAAGAAGTTACATGCATCAAGCCTCTTCATTGTTATCAATATACCTAATGCTTTCATACTTTGTTTTTTTTTAGAATGCTCCGAATGATCTGTCATATACATCAAATGACATATCTAGAATGATTGAACTTGTTAAAGAAGCCTTGAATAAGCTAACTACAAGGTAGTTTTAATAGTTACTACTCCATAGTCTAAATATGAAATATCTACTATATGTGACTAATCTATGACGTTTTGTTTATTTAAAGTTCTTTAAGCCAGTTAATGATGATACGAACTAGAATAGGATACTTAGATCGATTGACTGACCGACTTCTGGATTATAGACGTCAAGTAGAACTGGCTAGAACAAGATGCAGTCAAACACAGAAACTGATCGACAAAGCACTAATGGAGCAACAGGAGAAGACAACACAACTCGCGCAACTCAAGAACTATTGTAAGAAGTTAGTTAGCTTTGTAAGTTTTGTGGAATCCACTCATACTGTTGCCATTTTTATCTATTTCAGTACTTTCATTATGTGTTCGTAAATTATCTTAACCCTGAGATGCTAGGTTATGTAACTTTAAATCTATTTCGTACTATTAAACTATTAGACATATTTGCATTTCTATGAAAATCAATATTCATTTGATTACAACCCTGTCACTCAGTGTCAGACATTTGTTAGTAATCATCTTAATGATTATCTAATTCTCCTAAAACTACATACTCCCTGATAATTAGAAAATAATCGTTTACTACATTTCTAATTCATTTAGGTTGACAACAACCCCTTATTTACAGATATGGTGTCGTAACACAGTACAGACTCCTACTATACATTTAGATAAATTGAAACCTAACATCTCAACATTTTTACCAGTTAATCTATAACTGAGGTATAGTCCTCGTCTTTCCTAAAAATTGGATTTGGTTTTTGTTCAAAATGTTGATTTTGCTAGGATCAAGCAACTGAAGTCACACATATTATCATACAAGTTAGAAATCTGGAGTTCATTACAAAGTCTTGGGTAAATGTTTCATTCACACGTTCATTATCGCAGTTTTGTTTAATTCAGCTCTGAAAGTCGACTTAGTTTTTAAAACAGTACATATTCTTGTTTCATGATTTCAGTTGGAGGATGAACTATCAAGAATCTGTAATCGGCAAGTGCAAATAACTGGACAGTTCTGCGATCTGTGATAGGATTCGCTAACTCCACATTAATTAAATACATACTTAGCAACAAATCTAGTTTTGCTTTCTAGATTGGGAACCTTCTCCCGATTTTGTTCACGTAAATTTATTGTTTCTTAAAAGTTCACCTTTGGTTTTCCCTATTTGAAGCAGATACTGTAAAGATGTGCTTCCTAACAAAAGTACACAGTCGCGTAGAACCGACTAGTAATTAATTTCACTTTGGCTGACCTAGATTAGACCCCTGAGTGAAATGCTAGGGAAGCGCCCTCTGAGAGAACCACATACTTCAGTCTGGGCACCCGAGCAGTATCCCAGCCCTAACATAGACCGAGTGATTTGTGTGACGCATATGTATTTCGTCTCTTTGCACCAACTGATTGTTTAAAAAAAGTGCAGACCAAGTTTAGTAAACGCCTTACATCCCCACTCTGCTTACACGACAAATCCGCCTTTCACCGTTCCTGAGGCGACATGACTTCAGATCCAAGCTGATTAGTCATCCGACCCTTAAAGATACCCGCCGAGATGTATGTAGAAACTTCTGCACACATCGTATTGCCACTGTTGGTACAGGAAATTCATGTGCTCGTGATATTGATCTTACTAAAAACCACACCACACACATGTACACTATACTCGAGTCACAGAGCTCCTACGGTAGCGAGGAGGGCTAGGGCTCCGAGTACTGGAGAACTTCGCGAGTGGTTTCCCAACAAAGATCTACGGCAACTGCCTCTCAACTCTCATACCGCAAGTACTACCGTAGTGAGCGAGAACATAAGCGGGACAATCTAATCTATCTGAACACAAAAATTGCAGGACATTTTAGTGGAACCCGAGAACCAGACAGTTAACGCTCAATTTGCAAAATGTCTGTCGACCACCTCGAACTACATAGCAGTCATTACCTGATCTTAACCTTTTGCCGCCACACACCTCACTTCCAAATGACGGTAAATACTACTCATACCTAACATCGGTAGCACGCGCTACACTACTCTACGTTACTTTGTCTAGACACGATCCCCGCTTGAGAGGTTAAAGTTTTACTACACACTACTGGCCGCCGTGAGTTCGAGCTCCTGACACGCTGATACTAGGAAAACCATGGAAACATATCTCGGGGTTCGATAGGTCAAATGTAGATATGTAACAAGGTTGTTTTCACAAACAACGTAGCTACGCTTTATTTCCACCAATTTGTTTACTAGCGTAATCTCCGAATACACAACCCAAGGAAAATCTGGCGATGTCAAGGAGTTAGTCTTTTATTGACCTCTGGGACCAACGCAGGTCGCTACCGGCCGCAGAAGTGTGTGACCCCGTACACACAGAGCACCCCAGCCAGTACCTATACTCTTCTCACAACCAGCATTAAAATACGGTGCGTACTAATTGCACTAATGTAGGTCTCAAATCCACAAAAACCATTCAAAAAAAATCAAGAAAGCTAGTAGTTAGTGTTTCATTATTGGTAAGGTTCAAAGTACGCTTGACGTTACCGGACACCAAGGACACAAGTTTGTAACTCAGAGGATATTAAATACCTAAAAAGAAAAACAAGTGATGTATTATCACACGGAAAACTTTTAAGGGCAGAACTCAGAAAAATGTCTCCTCAGAAACATCAGAGACGAAAAATAAGTCATCACAAACACCACTTACTTAGTCCAACGAGGTCGACAACCAAAATGACCAGGATGCAGCATTAATGGCAAATGGTGGTCTATCAGTTGGCCGAACCTTTCACTGAATGCATTGAGATGATACTTTAGACACATGATGAGACAAGGACTCTTAGTCTGTGAGGTACCGATAAACAGCTGACAAATACTAGGCTCCGGGCTCATAAACTGTTTTAGTATCTTCGTAAATTTTGCTTCAGTAGACAAAAATTTATTACTGAGCGATTTGAAAACTGATCAAGTTGTCTCCGGTTCCTTCACGTGACAATGGTAGCAGGTCTAGCTTGGCCACTCAAGCATCGTACGGATGCTATCCTATCCCGGTAATCGGCCTATTTGTGGTCCTTTGAACATTTTCCAACTGCTCGCTGTATCTTTTTATGCAGCAACCAGCCGCCTGAAAACACTAACTAAGTTTATGACGAATGAAGTCATAGCCATTCCGACCACGCGCCATCAGTTAACGGACCATTAAAAAACCAACATGCCGTCAATGTCCTAGTCTATAAAACTGTTTAATTCGGTGAACTGTTAGGCTTTTAGCTTAAAAATATTATCATTAGAGGTTAAAAATCAGTATTGCCTTTATTATGTGAATAGGTATGTCGCGCGCTATTCACAAACAATAAATGTATTTTACCCGCTGGATTAAATTTCTGGTTTTAGTCGTTTATTACTGGTCAGGATCACTACTTTCCAGTTTAATTGACCTAATTCTGCTTGAAGCGACCAAGTAGTATAGTTTGTTTTGAAAGTAGTTCAGCATACGATCAACCATAGGTATATTGTTGTTTGGTATGCTGTAGTTTTTAACGTACTATTTTATGATTTCACATTTTACTGGTCACGAGTGGATTGAAGTCATCGCTCTCACCATGTATGCTTGCTGATCAGTAACTCAACCCCCCTTTTGCGATGCTAGGCTCATTTCAGCTTATTTTTGGATATATGTTGTAGCGGTAAATAAATCCCTAAAATAAATATCTCTGTAAGTTTCCAACATTAAATGCTGATCACATTCGTTTCAATGGACTCACCTAGGTGAAGGAGCGCGGTCATGCATCCGCACCAGATCACGAGTGGGAACGCCGTGCTCAACATCCCCTGCAATCGCTAGCCAGATTAATCAAACGATTCTCGATATATTGATAACCTATCGAATATGTCCTCGAACCTCCTTGCCTCTGTCTTCTGATTTTACTTGGTGGGTACGATTCATATTAGAAGGTTTTACTGGTTAAAGCGTTGTCAAACTCTGAATACCTGTGGCATCTTCAATGTCATATCTCAAATAATGCTCTGTGTTTCACAACCTGTTGGAAAACACTATTTCTATAAGTACTATTTTACAAGTTTATCAGGCAGTTACAAATTATTGACTGTGGGTAAGGCATCGATGCAGTGCTTAAACTGACTTTAGTATAAAGTCTAGTTTGCCAATTAGAGTATAAGCATTAAGAAGGGTGATACCATCAATAAGTTCAAAAGACTATTAATCCTGACCTCAATAATTCAACTATTCTCAAAACTCAAACTGAATTATGAGGCACTATTATGCACCGCCTTGTAACTAGACGGGTCATGAACACAACGGACATTCATTGTCATTCATACATGTGTAGCGTGGCGTGGATTCGCGGTTGACTATGAACACCACTACAAAGGAACGCGTGCCAGGATATCCACAAAACTCCCCCGTAAGCCAAATATCAGAAGGCAGTTAATGTACCAAGTCGAGATATTTTTGCTGGCGATCTCGTGGTATCGAAAGAATACCGATATCGTGCCAGGATACAAGCTTGGTTACAGAGCGTAACCGAATTTGCGCGAGGTCACAATCAAAGTGTAAGAATAATAATGGAAGCACAATGTAGCTGTCATTAGCACAGTTAAACAAAGGCACATTAAAACGAGCACTGGTACAGTTGGTTATAATAATAATTGTTTTCATTAAACCAGTCGTGTTCTCGTGATTAAAGTGAGTCACTACAAATGAATGAACAACTGATTCGACACGTGGCTTTATTCGTTGTTAGTCATGCCCTTACGCTTCTACGCCTCACATTCAGATTCGGATCTACTATATTGTTTGAGGTTGAATAATTTTTTCCACGAAGTCTCGTGTTTTTTTCTTAATTTCTATTCAAAATAGATTGAAAAATCACTAACCTTATGGGTGCTGTTCATTTGTGGACAATCATAGGAAGTTCATGACATTCTAAATTATTTTGTGTTCCTCCTAGTTCACGTACTACCAGTTTAAGAAATTATTTATTAGCATAGAACAATCTTGTTTTCCTACCCACCTACATTTTACCCATAAATTTTGAAACCCTAAACTCTTTCATATTCTTTGATCAGCAATTTGTCATTACCATCTCTAAACCACATACCATCTGACCAGCACCTGATAACTTGTACAGTTAGTTAACTTCATGGCAGTGTAATATAATAATAGGATACCTGAACCACAATGCAAAAGCGTCAGCCGCCTCATTTTCTTGTAGGAAGAAACTAATAAAGACAGTGTGTTCCAGCAAGATGTGAAACACAGGTCCTAGATTAGAGCGAAATTCGTTGCAGGATTTAATTTATCCTGGAGACATACTACTAGAACTGTAAATGCGTATTGCCGACCCCAGAGTCTATGTGAGAGCTATGGTCAGAACATTGACAACTTTGCCTGAGACTTTATCCGTTTCTAAACGTCAAAATGTTTAGATTAGCACAATAATTAAAGGAATTACAGTCATTAAGCGGAAAGCACAAACATACCGGCCAGTATTACAGGTCTTATCGAAACATAATATATAAAACTAATCGAGTAACTTATTCCATCATAGAGACGTGCCGACAACAAATCAGATCTAGGTTAAGCAAAAGTCTAAGGAACGACCGTGAGCAGTGGTGGGAAACGAAAGCAAAAGAGATGGAAAAGGCGGCGACTATAGGGAACACAAGACAGCTCTATAGACTAATAAACGAAACTGGAATTAATAAGCCAAGTGTAAGTCAGACTATTTCGGAAAAAGACGATACTCTCATCTGCTCCCAGTCCAAACGTTTAGAACGATGGGCGGAACATTTCAGAGAACAGTTCAGCTGACCTTCAGCTACTCTACAACTACCCTCCATTCCCAGACAGTGTAAATGGAACATTGAAGTAGGTCCCCCAACTCTAGCTGAAGTTCAAAAGGCTATAGTTAATCTGAAACGAGGAAGGGCAGCTGGTCCAGATGGACTGGCTCCAGAGGTCTTTAAGGATGGTGGTCCAATTTTAGCGACTAGGTTGACTAATATTTTAGCTAAAATCTGGGA